TGTAACACCTCATTTCGTATTCGCAGTTGCGGAGGCTTCTCAACAAGATAAAGGTTCACACATTACTGTTTGAAATATAACGGTTTATTGGAGTGTTTATCGCGTAAGATTTCAGCCCAGCAACTGCTACCTTCTACTAACTTTTACTAACCATATTATCCAGCCATAAGAGAAACATTTGTCACTTTTCATGATTTGACTATCTAGGATAGCCGTAGTTTGGAAGGCTAGTGTTTGTACTGAGTGGAGATTGAAGGTAAGATGAAAACTTGAATCGTGGTGGGATTCGAACCAGCGACCACCGGGTTACCGGTCCGGTGCTCCACCAACTGGGCTACGAGGTCCAACCGCTGACCAGAATTTGAGTTCACTTCAACCACGAGGGGTTTTGCTCCACTTCCATGGAAATTATTGACGCGTTACTACCGCTTGATCGTATCCACACTGGTTGCCTTGTCAGGACTTCTCATCCCAATCCAAATCTAACTGAATCAGAGAGGAGGAGCGTCGTATTGATTACGATTTTACTGTCTAAGATAGCCATAGTTTGGCAAACTAGTATTTGTACTGGGTGATGATTGGAGGTGAGACAAAAGTCTGAGCCGCTGCCGGACGCATCACGAATTCACATGGTTATCGGGAAAAAACCTTGGTGACTGTAGTGAAATCAAATTCTGATCAGAAGTCGGACCTCATAGCTCAGTTGGTAGAGCACGGGGTCGGTAACCCGGTGGTCGCTGGTTCGAATTCGGCCGCGGTCCAGATCTTCATCTGACCTTCAATCATCACCTAGTACACGTATTACTGTGTTTAGTTCGAAAAGTCTACTCTAGATCACATCTTATGATCACTCATATAGAAACTACAGACAAGAATATTTTTCGAAATCCGCACAGTTTTGAAAAACATGAAGCTTTGAAAATTTCGTGATGAAAACATTTATTTAATTAAGCATAACACAAAAAAATACTCCTCTGCTCCGCAGAACACTGTTCTGTACACCATGTTTAGCAGCCCACTAAGTCAAGCTTTTTTATGGTTTTCCTGATTAAACACTTAACTATCAGATGGTTTTTTAACTGTCTGTGCCAACATATTTTGCTTTTTGGAATAGGAACCTTATTTTAGGAAAAAACACTGCAGTTTGTTTAACTGATGATGCATTTTTATCGACGTTAGAAACCTGAATTCAATACAAGATATATGAAGTTAGCAGTTAACAGTGAGTGTAAAAGTTTCCTAATTTGCCCACCAAATGGTGTATGATTTACTTGTATTATGCAAGGAACAGCATAAAAACTACACCTGCCTCACAAGAAGTGGTTATAGTGACTTGGCAGCGAAGTGAATAACACTGTGATTTTTGAAGCAATTAGTCACGTGTTCGAGTCTTAGTGAGAGCAACATCTCTCAGTGGGAGGTAGGAGCATTCAGCTGACCAGTCTCTGACACGACGAAACGTGCGTCTCGGATTCCATTCCTGGTCACTGTCTATCAGTAATATTCCACTTGGTTTATTTGAGAATTCTATAGTATTGTTCTCGGTTACCTTCTTGGTTCCTGTTCATTCAGTATTTGTTGAAACATTTATTTCATATTTCGAATTCTTTTCACCTACCACATTGACCAAAAGTGAGTTACATATAAGATTTTTCCAATTTGCTTGTAATCATTACAAATTTAACTGTGTACGGTTCGACAGAATCAGGACCAGTCAAGGTTTGCTAGCTATCCCGTCCTACATTACCACGTAAAATGTGTGACGAACCTCAATTAGTTAGTTTTATTATTTCACTTTCATGATTTTCATGCAAATGGAGATATTTTAATTTACTTTTCTTGGGTCGTTTACTTTTCTTACTGAACAAATGAATTCTCTTTATAGATTCTTGAATGATATAAGAACTTCTAAGGAGAATTTGAACTGTCTTCATTTGGCTTAGCTTCACAAAATTTTCTTAAACTGGAAACTCTATATACACACGTACTGAGACTGATCTGTTTAAGCTGTCAGAGTATTATGCATAAGATATGAGCTGTTAATGGCAGATACGAACGTTAACTGTGAAACTGAAATTAAACCTCAGGGTTTTATTCACTTAGACAACTGACGCCTTTATTTTAGGTAGCATATTAAAAAATGCGTATCAACGAAATGTGCATCAACCAAAATGGTGAGTAAAAATTCCGCGGTACAAAATAAATACTGTCTAGTTACAACCTACGTATTTATCAAAATACGACTGAGCTACAAAAGATAACTTTCTATAATCTCAATCCAAAACACATCATACAGCCAAACAACTAAAAGAAAATGCTAACCAGTAAATGAATAAACCACGAGAACTTTTTGATTTCATTCTGAATGTTATAATAACTTTTACGTCCTCCTTTAGATGCTGTAACTGCATCTCTGATGCTTTCATGTATAATTCGTGTATTAATTTGTAGCTTCCCCTTATACTGTCTATGCCTTCACTGTTTACCTACTGATAGCAGTTTTAATTCTCTCATCAGTTTTGTTTGTCTAAAGTATATACAACATTCGCATCATAAATACAATTCAAAACTGAAGATTTCTAAATTATTTGATCATTGTACACTACATTATATATCGATGGACACCTACAAGGTCGATTTTACACGAGGCTATATGAGGTATACTACACCATCTTGCAACGGCACACAAATATTGCAAAGTTTATTTCCCTAACAGATCCTAACGGAAAACGTCTTACGATTCCAAATACTTCCAGTAGGCTTTCATTATTACCAGACTGTAAATATGATGCGATAAAATATAATTTCGTAGACCCGAACCTCGGATTTAATACTCATTACTTAGTGCAATCCTTGATCAGCACTATGGTGAAAACCACAGTTTACTATTCGTGGTAGGATAATAGTTTTCTTTCGAAAGAACAGTATACATTAAAAGGAAGGCACACTGAAAAAAGAAAGTAGCAAAGGCTTCGGTAAATAGGCGTTTAACTAGTTTCAATAAAAACTATCCCAGAGATTATAAATATACGACTTGTATGTTACCGTAAATGACTCACGATGGAGATCATAACAGTTTACAGACTTTAAAAATGATCCAAATAAGTAGAAATAATGGCGTAATGCCAATAATATCTGCAAATAAATGCGGTTTCAGGAGTTTTAGAAATTTGATCGCTCAATGCTCTTCTTGCAAACAACTGAAAATTTACTTGTGAACCTGCTAGGTCTTTTAGTTACGCATAACTTAGGTATCTGACACATAATTCACGCATTTGTCAGTCTTCCTAGCACCAATTTTCAGAAGTCATTTCATGGTATAGAAGCCTATTTCTAGTTATTAACTCTCACGTAGCTGGGTGGTTTTAACAAGGGAATTTATTCCAACAAAATCTAACAGTATTCTGTCCAGCATTTAGCAGAGTTTTCCGGTGAGAGTATTTTATTGCAGACTAATGAAGTAGTTTGTTTTAATTTTTAAGGCACTTTATATGTTTTTAAGATACTAAGCGTTATTCAGACTCTCAAGCAGCAATTATGAATAAGACTGAGGACATACGTGGGAATACTTGTTATCATCAATAAGTAGTTCTTAAGACGTTACAAATGTCTACAATTGAATTTCCCGCTTCAATGAAGTGTTATCCATGCATTTTCATCACCATTAGGTGTTGTAAAATACCAAATTTCTGATTTTATCTAAAGTCTAGTTATGAACTAGAAGCCGTCTGAAGGATTCATCAACTCTAATAAAGTAAAAATCCTAAAACCGGAAATTCCTATAATTTCAGTAGTTTCCTGCAATAACCTGTGAGTTTTGCTGAAAAGTTCAGTAAGGTAATCAATCATATTTAGGAAAAGTATATGGTGCGCATTATAACCCAGGAAGACAATCTCACCTACTAAATAATATTTGTTTTCTAGATTTGCTCATTAAATTCACTGAAAATAAAATTCTTTTTTCAGAAATTTGCCTGTCACTTTTCTGGTTAAAAACGTGTTATGTAGAAATATTAGTCAAAAGTTAAGGTTGACATACAATTAGGAACTATATCTTTTCCAAACCAGGTAGAGAAGCATATTGATGAGAAATCGATGCAATGAAAAAATCATTTGAAAGTATTTATGCCGAAGTAGCTTTTACTTAGAAATGTAGGCTTAAACAACCTAAATACTATATCTGCAACTTGCTGATGAGCGCCAACATGCACAACACTCAGTTTTATCCATCTTCTTCCTGGTGTATTCCAAATATCTAATATTCACCACTGCTTTCGAATGTGTGGTTGGTTTTACTTGTTTCAATCCTTCTTCTGTTTAGCAGTGGAAAACCCATACAATCATTTTCTGCTGCAGAGTACCGCTATGAAAGATCCTTCTCATATTTAAACTGGAATGTTTTGTTTAAATAATAAATAAACTGGATTTCGCCTCTTCTTGGATAAACAGGTCCCGTAAAATGTCCTGTTAAGCTATCAAGAAGAAAGTTAACTAATTTGTTACCCATACTGTGAGCGTTTTACATATATTAGTCTATGAATAACCTACTGTACGGTTATTAAATTGTAAGTTTTACTGTTTCACCTTCAAGAATATCACTACTATCAGTGACAAACAATCACTTTCAGTAGACTGACAGATAACGTCAAGAACCAATGATCCATGGAGTCATTCGTATTTGTAAATGCTCATTACACAGTTTTATAAACATTTCAATGTTCACGAAAATTACTATGAGTGAGAAATTGTTACACCTATATTGCATTTTCAGGCAGCATATATCTACAATCTTTCAGACAATCAGTTATCTTACTAAGAGTTGATGAGTGACCAGTTCCTGATTCTGCATTAGAAGCACTGTCACACTTATTAAAGTAAAGTAACAGTAACAGAAATACAAAAATGTGCTTGTAATTTACCTTTAATAGCTTACCATTTTGTATATACAGAAAAGAAGGAAGGTTAATCGACAGGTAGAAAAAAACAATTATAAACAATTATCATATTTCTGTTAAGAAACATAATTCATCTTTTAAATTTTTAGCCTCTATATATCCAATATCACGCTTTAATTGATCCGGCAATCTAAGTAACTGTTCATGGAATTTTTTTGTTGATGTATCCATCAACACAGATGACTCGTTAGTGTGATCAACAAAATTGGTATTCGTTAGCTTCTCATGAAAATATTGTGTTCCCAACTGACATCTAACAACATATCTGCATTGTATAAGCAAACTGAATGGTCGTCTGTTGACTAACTGTAAGAATTTATCATGAAAATAACAAAAATTGCACAGGAATCTATCAGGTTCAAGTATATTCAGTGATTCAGTATCATCATAATTGCATTGAGTAAATGAATTTATGTCTAAAATATCTACAACGCTATTTGGTACTAAACATAAACCAGAGTAAACTAAATTAAAAAATAAAACAGTGAAAGACTGTAGAATAGTTGGAAGACAATGTGAAGAACATTTATCATAAAAGCTCCACTTAACAAATTCATAAATTAGTAGCGGGTAAAAAATATTTTTCGTCACTTGAAATATACTACTCATTTTGTGAAAAGTAAAGTGATGGTTTAACTTCATATTATCCAATAGCAGTTTATCAGTGTACTCAAGAAAAAACAATTTCGGAGGAATCATTCCAGCAGTTAATAATTGACGTAAAATGCCTGCACTATCAACAATTTCGACATTAATTTGTAAATTTAAAAAATGGAAAATATTGTCTAGTTGTATGGCAGCGTTTTGGCAAACATGAGAAATAGTATCTGATTGAATACCTCCAGTTAGTGTTTGTAAATCAAAATTATCAGCGATTCGTATATCAGCTCCTCTCTGTAGAAGGCTAGCAAGAATTTTCGGGAATATCCAAGGTGTATTAGTAGTTTTCTGTTCATAGTTTAATAAAATCCTGCTGGACAATGATGAATATGATTGTTGCAGTGGGACATTTCTTAGAAAAAGGTCCATAACTGATGGATATATCTCGACAGTTGATATTGTATGCATACTAAAAGTCTTAATCTTCTTCTGAATAGAATTCACGTCAATTCCGGTGGTAATCAGAAACTGAAATGACTCCCACTGATCTTCATCTACTATCTGGCCAAATAAAAACTGTTTGTGTACATGAGAAGATTCTTCGTGAATTGTAGTCTTCTGGAGTGAATATTTCGAACGGTATTCATTCATATGACTGATTAGATTAAATATATCCCCCATAGAAGAGGATGGTGTCTGGTATTCCTTGTTACCTCTGTGTACTATGTATTTCTGTTTTGATTTATCTCGCCATTTACTATATTTGACATACTTCCTTTGAACAATACATGCTGCGTTTGATGATGTTGATGAGTGCAGTGATTGAAAATTATTTTTGTCGCCTACAAGATTGAATTTTGATGACTTTGTAGATTCATTAAAATTTTTCCTATATCGCCTTTGTTTATAAACATGTTTAACATTATCCATTTGTTCATTATGAATGTGGTTTGATGAAAAATCTTTTTCTTTGATAGATGAATGATTTGTTTTTGACGTCATTTTATTTTGATGTTGTATCAAATTCAGTGTTTTACTAATTTTATGCTTTGTTACATTCAACAGCATAATAAGAAAAGAATTGTATTTTGCTCTATTTTTTTGTTTAATATCGTATGTAAAAGTGGAGTCAATATTTGTTGCTTTATTGCCTAAGTTAGTCACAGTAGGGTGAGATCCTGTTTCCCATAAGAATGAATAACTATTCGATAGTAAACGAAGTTTATCATAATTTTCCGATGTTGATGTTAGCCAAAAATCTGTCAATCCCGTGAGTAGAAACATTTTTAGTCGATCGAATGAAATAAGTAATAAAATATATTGTTTTGACACTCCTTTGGTTATTTCTTTAATTTATTTCTGAACTGAATGAGTTGAAATCTGTTTTCACTTTATAGCAAAATTATAAGGTAGATATTTATAAATATCGAAAATTTTCATTGGCTTATGATCACGACCAGTCGTATTGCATAGAATAATTACTGAACTGCATTCTTAACTGTGGGATCTTTTAGATATTTAAAAAGAATAGTGACACACCCAAACATTCAAGTAAATATTATATCATCCAATAGTAATAAATTACTGTTTTGAAATGTTAGTCTCGCATACTAGACTAATGATGATTTATTATTACTGGTTATTTTTTCCTTGGTTTCCCAATGGAACATAGAGCTTCAGTAGCACGCCTCCATTCCACTCTGTTCTCTGCAGTCTTTCAGATCTGGCACCAAGACTGCTCATAGGCTTTCATTTCTTCCTCATATGATCTCCGCCATGTCACCCTTGGACGCCCAAATCGTCATTTCCCACTTGGTTTCCGCCAGAGGGCCTGGTGTGTGATGACCCCAGTCTGCCTTGTCGGTGTATGTTCAATCCATCTCCACTTTCTTCTACATATATGTTGAGCGATAAGTCCTTGGTTGGTTTGTTGCCAGCCACACTGAGTTTCTTGTTACTTATTCTTATTATTCTGGCCATCTATCGAATATTCAGTAGCAAGTTAGCGTAAGTGGCAGCTGTTCATATATGATGTCTGTAGTTTGTTGGAAATGCTTTTCGTGACACACCAAGTCCCTCAACCCTCACATAGCAGCACTGACTTCACTGAATTAGTGTTGAGAATCCGGATGTTGTTCACGCTTTATGCTGAGTGCAGTGGAGTGCAGTGGATCTCCACACAGATTATTTCAGACTAATGAAGGCCTGTCTTGCTGTTTTTCTGATCCTTGCTTTGACATCCCCATCTGTAGCTGTGACTCTGCCTGTGCCGCTTGTAGTTGAAACGACGCTGCCTAGGTAGGTAGGTAGGTAGGCAGGTAGATGGGGAAGTAGGTGGGTAGGTGAAAGAGACAACTTCCTTTAAGTTTCTTCCGTTGATGGTGATTGTAGCTTATCGTTGATTCTGTTGTTAGTTGGGTATCTTCATCAACTCCGTCTTCTCTACCTTTGCCTGAAGTCCCGTCTTCGCTGCCTCACCTCTTCTGTCAACTTGTTAGTTTTCGCCTGTAGATATTCAAGTTTGTGCCACAAGACATTGGACATAAATCATCATCGGTGGCGAAGTACCAATCTTCTAGGCTCTTTTCATAGGTCCAGCGTATGCCCTTCATTGAATTTCTGAGAGAACTAGAAATTTCTTCCTATTATAACTTCAGAATACCTTTACTGCAATGAAGTTAACAGATGATGTCTGATTACCAAATCCATCACCGTCTTGATACTAAGTTTTGATCACAATGGAAAGAATACAACAATATTCAAAAAATTTATTTGTTTTTGTAATATTTCATGCTCAAATGTCAAGATAAATTTACACCCTCCAGCTGTTCAGTGAAGATCTTAGCAAAGTTTAAATATATCTTTATATCTGAGAAATGATTCCGATTGTGGAAGAAATGAAAAAGTGGTGAAAAAGATTTGTAGTATAGGATGAGGATGATTTGATGTTCTCAGAGGTTTGAAGTTGTACAGTATTTAATAACTGCATCAAAGTAAAAAAATATATAGCTGGTAAGCTTACGCTAACAAAATAAAATTCTTCTGCAACTGATTAGATTTAGTAGTGTTCAGGTCTTTTGATTAGGTAAGATAAAATATACCTTGTGTAATGTTTCACCTCAGTTTAAAGTATCATCTGATCGCTAAATGAAAGTCAACGATTATTTTTTTCCTTTGCATTTCAGATTGCTTTTTGATTTGCTATAAGGTAGATCACGGTAGTGGTATGTGACGCTTCACTGAATAAGTTTTTAACGTCAGTCAGCTCTTCGTTCCTTTTATAACAGTCCCAGTGGGAAACAATACTTTTTCGTGATACAAATTTCAGTTGTGTATGTCCACATTCTTCAAACAGAATACTTTCCTATCTGATTTTAAGGGACAGAGTACCGAGCTGTCAAAATATGTTGGTAGAAGCGCTTAAAAAATTCAAACTTTTCTACTAAATTCAGCAATACTGGTAAAACTGTTTTTTCATTGTTTGTGAATATTGGATGCTAAGATTTATTTACTTAGAAGACTGGAAGACTTACTAATAAAAGTTTACCAATAGATATTATCGCAAGTGATTGGCAAAAATTCAAGTTGTCTGCTGATTATCTCTATCAAAATCATGGAAAATAGATGTGTTATTGATGAAATAGTAATTGATTCGCTAAGTATTGTGTAACCACAGAAAAGTAGCCTGCTTCTTTCTTGATAATCACTTGGTTATTTATGGTTAATACTCGAAAGTAAGTTGAAACCAACTTGGAAATTGTTTCAAATCTGTGTTTAAAAAGGACTTAAAAAAACATTTCATCAACATTGTCTTCTGTTCTTAATAGTATTCAGCTGATTTAATGTTATAAATCATAGAATTATAATATTTGAATCTCATAAAAAAGGGTTTTTAATAAAGGTATATTATGAGCTTAGGCTCAGCCTTAAACTGTGTATTACCGGTTATTTTCGCTGCAGATATATAGAAACTAAATGTACTCAGTTTCTTGTTTGGATTTGTGTTGCATTATTTACCTACCATGAAGTTGATTGAAAGCAATTTCACCATTTGTTTTATCTAAAATATTTTTTGATCAACGTAAATAATTATTTTACGAATTCCACTACTTTTTTCGTGCACCTTACAAGAACTAGCTGAAGAGTGGAATATGTTTTCCTGAAAAATAATTTGGAGGGCTACGTTAGTCTCGCAAGACAGCAATTTTTTTCTCAATATGCATCCATCGAAATAAATAAGTGGGTTCGTTATTTCCATCAATAAACACCATTCACAATGATGAAGTAGGTAATGCTTAGTGATTTACTTACAACGTAGTCTATTCTCCCTACAATCATTTCTAGTTATTTATATGCTGTGAAATTTTTATAGGATAGTCATTCATACGTGGCGTATATTATAGTTTTAGTCCTAGTGACAACGAAATTTGTCTAAGAAAACATTTCAGCATTGAAGTCTCCTTTGGTTCTGGTAAATCATGCGCCCAGTATCATATAAGTAGATGAAGTGAGTGCTGTTTTCCTAACCACAGACTGATATTGCGTTTGTAAACACTGAACTGCATGCCGTCTAATGGTGGATCGCATTGATTATCCATTTTGATTTGCCAAAGTAGCCGACAGTAACCACTGATAATGTTGTCAATTTTGTGCTTCACAAGGAAGACTGAATTAGTTTTGTTTATTATACGACAAACCATATTATCATAACTGGTTCCTCTTTTTTCACAGTAACTTACAATAAATGTTACCTACACTGTGATTCCTAGTTCATTCTCATTTTTATAAGTATGTGTAAGCAGTTTTTTCTTTTTGATTTTCTGAGTAACTACTCAGTTGTACTTAAGGATATCACTGAATCACACCTAAATGAATACTTGCTTTCAATAGATGACTTCAGACAGTCCTTGAAGCAGTGACTGACAGGTCTGTTTTGAGCTTTTCTCATTATACCTTGGAATTCGAATACACGCAAATTTACGTTCCTTTCTGACTCAGTGGTTGCTAACTTTTATCAAAACACTACAGAACAACGGCAGTTTAATTGTTATTTGATTTCTTTCCTATATTCAAGTATCATATCAAGTGTGTAATTCATTAAAGCCTGTGTCATTTGGAACCAGTTGAAGCTTGCTATATTCAGCGGACTTCCAAATCAATAAAAATATGTACATTAGTTAATGACTTTTTATGGCTTTGACGGAAATTACCGTAATCCCAATGGAAACTATACAAAGTCTTCGGTTAAGTTAGGAAGTTTTAGAGACAAACTGAATGTTACTTCTCTTGGTTTTGCTTGATATATTTACATGTTTAGCTGGGATAGAGGAGGAGGAGCTCTAAGTAGTTTAAAGTTAAGGATGAGGGTTTGTTTCACAGATGGTTGATTGTATACTGAAAATGTTTTATACCACTAACTAGCTTTGATACATTTTTATGCAGTAGCCGTTCAAACAACACTTCCTCTCTATCTTAATGATGACTTAGTGGGGATTTTTAACTACTTGTGACATATTTTCAACAAATCAATACAGATCAGTTGGTGAGCGTTCATGCTAAAATAACAGTCTGCAGCCAAGATTTTACAAAACGTGCATTGAAATACGGCTGAAAAGTTAAATCATTTCTTCAAACTAATGTATTAACTGTACATAAGTACACTCTACTTGAAGTAGGAAATCATAACAGTATTGTACAGACTACATCAGACAAAGATTTGTGGAGTTGTATTATTCAATAAACTGGGTTACACACTGAAGGTTTTATTATCTTTCCAAGTTAGAAATTGATACTTTGAATAAAAAATGAATCTCAGCTTCGTAAAACAGAGTGATTATTTAAAGAAATATCCAGACGGAATATAAGTGACCGAACAATATATATCCGTTTCAATACCCGATGCTCACGATCTCAGTTAAAGGTAGCTTTGTATTCATAAACTTTCTACTGAGAAAACAACCAGCACCCACACAGTATATCTGATTCAGTATAAATGGTAAATTATGCCACTGAGTCTGTGGGTAGCCACTGAAACTCCTTCCTAATTAATTATTTCTGGGATATTTGTTTTGAGAACTTAGAGAACATGAGTAGACCCCGTAATTAGTACAGAAGAGTTTCATAACTGTTACTTCAGAAATACCTTTATTGGAAGTAATAATGAAAATCATACAATACTTCTTATCAAAATACATAACAAATTACATCCAAAGACTTAATTTACAGTGGGTGAAGTCAAAAAATCACTAATTTCTGTGTCTAGGAAATACACAAAGAAATATTGG